GCTAGAAAACACAATTACTTTATAGTCATGTCATTTTAAATATGTGCTTTTAAATATTTGAATGCAAAAACAATTATTAGAAGATGTGTTCAATTCATGTGTTTACAGAATTCACTCAGGTTGTGGTGTTTTAGTACACCATTCTGATGAGACTACAGTGGGTTTAGTGTATATTAAGTCTATGTCTAAATTTCTCCTATTTTCTAAAAAAATTTCTCCTTGTTTCTAAATATCATGAACACATTCTTGGGACTATGGATTAAGAATTCAACCAACAGGAGTTCCTGTGCTTAAAATTTGTTTTGTTTCCCCAATTAGTACTGAATTAGAACTGAATTATGTAAATTATTGCAAACCATTACTTTAATAATATAAATAATTCAACAATAAGGAAAAAAACAGAATAATAATTCAGGTTCCTTGTGCTAACTACCACTGCAATTTTTGCTAACAGCAGTATAGAGTTAGCATTTATTGGAAGAAAGTGGAGTAGATTGTTGGCTCCCGTAAAACCCATCATTTTCTTATGAGTCTAATAAGGAAACGTATGGTTGAAAGCTATTTAATATCACCTTGCATTAAAACAGAGGAGAAGTAGGAAGGTAAACACTGATCCTTTGGAAATGGCCTGGCTTAACTATTTCCTAGGCTTGTAGGGGTGTAATATAGAGCTTACCAGGGTGAGATAAGGAGGAATGATTGCACACATCAGCTTAAAACCAGTTTAGTTTCATTTGATTTCTGCATGGGCGTAAACTTGGTATATAAAATGCACTTTGCATCCAGAACTCAATTTATCAGGAAAAGTCTATAAGACTTCAGCATCTTTAATCATATCTAATCCCTTCATCCTTCAGCGTTTCCCACTGGAGAACTCCAAAATAACAATTATGTTTCTCATACAAATTGTATAGATATTGGATTAAACACTATTGATGTCTCAACATAATGATTTATGTCACAGAAAAAAATATCTGTCAAGGATTCTGGTTTAAATACCATATGTTAAAATATTTTAATGTTCAATTGAATTAATAATTGACCCCTAACCCTAATGCTTCCCATAACCATAAAACACAGTCCTTTCAAAATGTATAATACCTCACGGAAAACTGGTTTTAATTTACGTCTCCTTGAAAGACCTCTTTGAGGGCATTTGCATTGTCAGCAGCTTAAATGGACCACAGAAATGATAACTAAATAATTTAGAAAATTGTAAGATGATTTAGGCATTTAAGATGTGTAAAAGGTAATTAAAACCAAACTTTCGGAGGGCTAAGGCCACACTGAAGCTGCTCACTCTCCAGCTGGGGTCACTGCCTATGTTGTGCAAAGGCATATGTTCAATTTACAGTTGTAATGAAGAACATGGGATGTTTTGATTCTTCATTTGCTGTGCTCATCTCTAGAGGATGCAATTGCCCACGTGAAAAATGAATATAGGCTCTTGTAGAGGGTAATAAAATGTGTAAAATAATGCAAGTCACATGCATGTATGGTTGGCATATGGCTTTTGTCAGTTTGGAATTGTTGCCTTTAGCTGCTATCATGATGGAGACTCATGGAAATGTTCATTATTATCCACTTAGAAATAAGACTAGCTCCTTTGATCCTGTTAGTTTGATCATGATTATTCCATTTAAACTAATGCATGGTGTTTATAAATGTGTTTCAGTAGATTGTTTACTTACAAGGGAATTTTCTTATGGTTCCCCTTAATCTACAAAAGAAAGGAGGAATGAAGGTTGTAAATTTTTTTTTTGTCTTCTGTTGAATATATCCAAGATACATTAAAAGTTGTAACACAACAGTATTTTTTTCCTTTTTTCTTTTTATTCTACAATTAAACAATAGATGATACCGGGTTTTGAATTTTTTTTGTATGTTGATTGCTCAAAAACATTAGCACATGTTCATGGGAGAAGTTTAAAGAAGTATTTACAGCATCATTAAGATACAAGTTGATATTTTCTAGAATGACCAGCTTCTTTTTACTGTAAGTTTGCAAATTGTTCAACTGATCTGCTATAAGGTGTGCAAAACTCTAGAGAGCCTGGCTATACGCAGGGTCCGACTATTGGCTTAAAACAAGTCAAATACATAACTTTCATTTAAAAACTGAACAAAGAGAAAGACCTTTAAATCTTTCTCAATTGGAAAAATAAATGACAGAAAATTGGAGTTGATTAAAATGTATAGGAATAAGATAAATAGCTTATTTTAAGCACATATAATTAGCAATTACCCAGTTTTTGTACTTATCTACCACTGCTTTTTGTTATTGTTTTTACTATTTATTTTATTTTTTTATCATTCTCTTTCTTCCTGTCTTCTTCCTTTTAGCGGCTGGTTCTTCCCTCTTGTATGTGAACTTCCAAAAACTGTACCTTGCCTCTCTGTGGTCACATGAATCTGAGTGGAGAGGAACAAGTACTTAGCACTTTATTTTACAGACCTGGAAGAATTCAGATTGTGCCCCGCCCCCATCATCCTTTCCAGGGACATTGTTTTGTAGTTTAAATCACCAAGGTCCCTTCTACCAAGGTCGGCTGAGCTCTCATCTCAGCATGTTTGCTTCCACAGGTGCTGCAAAGAGCATCACCTCCTGAATATTTCTACCTCCATATGTATTTAAATCTTTATTTAAACAAGCACAGGCTAGCAGCTTACTGCTATGAAAAACGTTAAGCTTACTTTATTGAGTAACCAAACTAAGAATTAACAGCATTCTAATCATTAGAACTCTGTCATAGAACACTGATCCACCAGACATAAGTCCACAAACTTGCATGGGCCCTGGAATTAACTTGTATTATCGTAGGTTTTTTTCTGCCTGTTTTTCAAATCAAATCCATTGGTCTACTCCATCCCCTGGAAGTCATATTTTGCAGCTCCTGGCTCTCCTCCAAAAGCCTTTCATTGTTGTACAAGCCATCCTTGTTTTCAATTCATTCCTCTTGATCCACTGTGTAAACTAGGTGGACCTGAATAGTTAGGAAAACCGAAAGCATTTGGTTGTTATTAGGGTAAGGATAGCCGACGACTCACACATGTAAAACATTAAAGAAACCCTACAAATGTTTGAGTAATTTTTTTCTGTTGTTGTTGTTTGGGGCTGTGGGGCATTTAACCACATCCTGCCGTGCACACAACCCTAGAGCTTCTCTCCTTACCAGGTAGAGTTTGAAGCTAATAAAGAAACAAAAACAAAAACAAAAAAACAAGGACAGTATTTTTATTTTCTTTTCCCAGCATTTTTATTGCCTTTATTTAAATGTAACACAATATACACTGTTCAGCCTCTTTGGGGGTAGGAGGGGGGTGATTCTGTATCTTTAAAGACTCTCATGTCAGCACTCATGTCCCGTGTCTGTGGCTGACATACTTTAGCATGATGGACCAGCGCCCACACTTCCCATGGAGGCAGAGCTCCCAAAATCTTGATAAGTTTTTTTTTTTTTTTAAACACAACATTTAGGACTGAACTTTTTTTTTTTTTCAGTAGTTGTAAAAGGGACCAGAATTCTCTATCAATATCAAACAAAATGCAAAATTTAAATGCAGAAGAATCTCCTCACTACACACCAAATTGTTTCTGTGTTTATCTCTGCTAGGATATATACAGGCAAAAATGTATGGTGGGGGAGGGGGAAAGATGTTTTCTATTTTTGGACTCTGCAAGCTTTGATACATGTTGCTAGAAGCTGTTTAATGTCTGTGTACTATAATGATGGCTGTTTACATGTAGTCTCTTTAGTAATCTGAATGGCAATGTGAAATAAGGGTCCAATGTCTGCCCTGTTTGCTGTTACTCTGGTCACTGAATACTACAGTTTGTCTCCCCAAACATTTAATTTTGGTTGTGGGTGGTCTGTGTTCATGTGTCAGGTATAATTATTATTTTAAAACAAAAGAAAAAAAAGATACCTAGTTTTTCTAGAGATGCATTACATTAGAGCTCTCAGACTTGGTTACCAATTAAATTCTAACATACAGAATTCAACCACAACAAGTACACATTTTAAAAATCCCATTTGTCATAAAACAAGTCGAAAGAAGAATACCACGAAATGCAACTATACCTATTAACCAAAGCACTGTGCCGTGCATTTCTCTTGAAATACCAGCTTTTCAAAGAAATCATAAATTATGACCTTTGTCAGATTACTCTGCAGGAACATTTTCAAAAAAAGCTGATTTTTAAATAACTGATTAACTTTTAATACTAATTTTTAAAGAACTGATTTTCACTGGCTAATCATCAGCACAAATAAGTTAGAAGAAAATTACAAATCACCAGCCTTTCTGGAGTTAAATTTTAGTAAAACAAAACAAAAACAAAACAAAACAAACAAAAAACCCACCACATTTGGTAAGTTTTTTTGTTTGTACCAAAATACTGTATTCAAACAATGAAAATAAACAGACTTTTCCAAACAAGAAAGGAGATAAGACTGCAGCATCAACACAGTCTTAGAGTTATACTTTAAAATAATCAGAACAAATAATATTTTCTACATGTTTTTTAAAAAATCACTACAGACACTGCAGATAAGGCTTACGTGTTTATTTAGTGAGATACAAAGTGAGGGCGGTGGTGCGCTTACGGACTGCTTTCTACACCTGCTCGAAGAAAATGAATTTCCATGTGGCTATGTTATGGAACCTTCTAGAACACTTTAAATTTACAGAAAAACAAGCTTTATTTGGTTTTGTAAAGACTAGATCGTACAGTTTAAACAGGTTTCAGTATGTGGTTACACATATACCAGGATATATTTGCTTAGTTTAAGCCCCTGGGAGTGTTGCACTTCATACCAAATTTGTTTCTGGTTCCTTTGGGGTAGAAGAATTCTGTGGGACTTAGAACGGGCCCTTGTATATTCAGATAGCCTTTCCATCATTTGCCATTGTGATCTGTGGACAGCCATCATCAGTAAAAGACAAGGTTAGTAAAAAAAAAAAAAAAAAAAAAAATCTAACAATTCATTTTTCTTCAGTATCTTCTTGGAGATGCAATGAGGCAATGACAGAGGATTTGCCCTTCTATATTCTAGGTACGGAAGCCTCAGGACTAATAGGTGTTGGCAAATGATGGCGGTTATCTGCTACTCAAGCGCTAGCAGACCTTTGCCACAGTCATCACTGATGGTTCTTATTGCAGAAGTGTAAATTAAGTCAACAGAGAGCACATGGGGCACTCATACTGCTTCCTCGATCTCATCTCCTATTTCTGAAGTGTTTGCCAAGTTCTTAAAACAGTTTGTCATGAACGTGCGTATGGTGCCAAAAAAAAAAAAAAAATGAGAAGGTAAATCAGAGGGCAGTGCTGAGGGATACTCTTTAAAACCCCAAAAGATATTTAACATCCTATTAAATAAATAACTTAGAAAGAAATAGAAAAGGCTGGATGCAGGATGCACAAGCATGACCATACTATTTGTATTGTTAGAACAGTTCACACTAATGTGTTTATATTTGTAAATCTGACCCAATTCTTCCACGGTGCCACACCCAAAGCTCCTTTGGTTGCGCGTATGATGCGACCCAAGTTTCCAGTAAATGCTTGCGTGTTTACTGCTCATTGAAGTCTTTAATATGTGTTCATATTCCATAAATAACTTCCCAAAGATCGTTCAACAGAGTGTCTCATGTCCTTTCAGTCCTATCTCAGAAGTTCAAAAACAAAAACTTAAGAAAACAAAACAAAACAAACAAACAAACGAAAAACCAACCCAGGCACAAGGTTGTTCCCTTGAGGATAATTTTCATCCCATTTGATTTGCTTCTAACTTGGTTATAAGGCATGACACAGAGCTAGTGAAAAGAATTTCATATGTCAGCAGTGAATAAAAAAACATCCAAAGCTTTCCTTCCTTTAAACAAGATGAACTCTGTGGTATGCCTTTGCCATTTGCACTATGGTCTTCAGTGAGGACACCAACTCCTCCTTGCCAAAGAGTGTTTGTTGTGCTGCATCCACCACCAGCGCCTTCTTTTAGGAGTGTACCACCATTGGGAGGAAGTGAGCAGAGGTGTTTTTCCTTCTAGTTTTCTGTCCTCTCCTGGGAGCCCCTTTTCCGTTCAGCGCCACATACATCTGCCTGCCATTGTGCTGCCAGTTAAAGGACGCATAGGTGTTGTAGCCATTTTCCTCTATCCTCTCTTTCAGCTTGCAGTCATTGTTAAACTCTTTCTGCAAAGAAAAAACCAGTTATTTATTCATGTGGTGACTGATTCCGTGTGATACAGGACACCCCACCTAATGGCCTACAGTCCATTGTCTTGTCTATAGCTGCCATTTTTACATCAAATGCTCACGTGGTATACAACGCCAAGAACAGAAGAGACAAATTCCTAACCACAAAACAAATTCTGTATTTGAAAACACATGACTCATCTTTGATTAATCACCACAGCCGTGTCTTCTGGCCCTTTAAAAATTAGACATGTTTTGAATGATTTAAGTGTCTAGAATTATTGTCAGGAAGGAGACATCACAATAACAATATTTATGATGAACCAGTTATGGAGGACAGTATTGTCTTTCATAGTGTTAGCTATAGGTCCTCTAAAATAAATAAATATTTTTAAAAAAGGAATCACCAGAAACATGGGCCCATCGCACTTATAAGCATTATCTACTTAAAAATCAACTCATGAAATGTTTTGAAGCTAATATATAGAAAATGCCTTGTTTGGGGATCAGAGATGTAGCTCACTTGGCAGAGTTCTTCCATAGAATGCATGAGGCCCTGGGATCTATCTTTACACTCTTTACACTCTTTATGCTCAGTACACTCTTCAGTATACTGAGCATGGTCAACATGCCTATAATCCAAACACTTGGAACCCAGAGGTAAGTGGATCAGAAGTTAAGCTACACAGTGAAGTCTAGGCGAGCCTTTCCTATGTGGGACCCTGTTTCAAAAGGAAAAAAAAGTCTTGTTTTGTCAATCATCATGTCAAAATGATTATGAACATAGTGACTGAAAATGCATTCAGATGTTCTAACTGGAATATCCATTTTCGCATTGTCCCAAATGGCCAACTGATTTTAGAGAGCATTGATGTGTCAAGAGTTTTCTCTCATCTGTCTCCCAAATTCAGTATCTTATTCGGAAATTAGTAACAGATACACAAACTAAGGAAGTTTCCCTCTGGTACTTTTGCAAACTGGAGTATGTCAGACACTAAGGATCTGGAGCTTCTGGGGTTCTACTCTTTGCATTTACTAAAAGATATCATCAGTTTGTTCTTCCATTCTTGGAGTTGTGAAGTACTGTCTTACTCTCATCTGTAAAGTACTATTAAATGCAAAATCCACACAGTAATATGATTGAAAATAAGAAGAAAAGATAATACAATTTTTAGTAAAATAAAATGTGTGCATTAAAAAATATCTTTGCGTGCTAAATTAAATAATTTTCTTCTTATTCACCTCTCTGAAACTATATGGATGTCAAACAATATACTTGTGTTTTACACTTATTAAAAGGATATGCAGTTTAAAGATGGAAAGAAGAGGCCAGCAAGACACCTCATTAAATAAGACACTGGTCTCAGAGTTCGTCCCCAGGAACTACAAGGTAGACAGAGAGAACCACTCTTTTAGGTTGTCTTCTGTCCTCTTCATGTTTGTTGTGGCATGTGCATACTCACTCATGTTCACATAGGCACAGACTGAACAAGTGTAATAAATTTTTTTAAGGGAAGACTGAGACTACTTCAGGTAATTTCATATTGGAAATTCCATATTGGATGCTTACTTTTCCACCCCCAAATGAATTTAAAGAGTGATATATCTTGAAATGACTTGTGCCTGAGTCAGCTTTCTCATCTCAGGGGGTTTGACACTTGGGACGTAACTGGTTGTGCCATAGGTCTGGCAGGATCTTTGGAGGAAGGCCTAGATGTTCATGAGATAGAGGCAAAGCCTAAGTACTAATGTTTAAGAAATCTAGGTTGTACTAGCCATGGACATCCCTCCTTTCTGGCTAGCTTTCGTAGTATTGGAAGGTGCTCTACAGGCTGCTAGGGGTGGGAGGAGGAGCCATCAATAGTCTTCCCTGTGAAAGAACACTGTGAATTAGAGTAATGACTGGTGTGGCAAGAGATGCCCACGGGTGCAGTGGTACAAATATTATGAGAATAGCCACCACTTTCTGATTAGATTCAAGACCAATTTCACAGAAGGAAGCGTATACCTGGCACTGTAAATTTAGCTAAGGATTCGTGGTTGGGGAGCTCAGAGGACCCAGGAGTGTATCTGTGCTATTATTTTGCTAACTGGGAATAGCATCAAATTTCCTTCTAAATCTCTTTCTCTCTAATGGGAGATTGGTACACCTTTTAGACATTATTAGAGTATTTTTGTATGTGTGTATTGGATAGTAGTTAATGCAGAGACTTACAACATGTCAAAGTGTGGAGAACAGATGTCCATGGACTGATCCGCCACATCTATCTCACACCCACCTCCCTAAGGCTCAGGAACTCTCAAGTGAGGGTAGGGAGAAAGACTGTAATAATCAGAGGTGAGAGAGAGTGGGAGAAACAGCGGCTGTTAGACATGACAAGGCCACTGTACTCATGACCGACCCCACAGCAGCTATGGCCATCGACAGAACTGCACAGGCTCAAGTAGGAAAGGGTTAACGGGTCCTCACCCCTAACTGAGGTGCTATGGACAGCTGGAGGCTTCAAGAGAGGAGAGCCAGCTTGCTCTAAGGGTGCAGATGCCGGTCAGTCTCACCACACTCCAGTAGATGACTCTACCCCTAGGAATGTATAAACAGCAGAAAACTGAACCCATGGGTTACTTTAGAAAAGAAGAGGTGGCCACAAACTGGACGAGAAGGAACGTGGAGGCGTATCTTAAAGGAGAAAGTGGAGGAGACTGGTGATGAATATAACAAAACACATTGTATAAACTTCTTACAGATTAATAACAGTATTTTAAAATAATTGGGTAAAGCAAGATCCCAAAGTGAATTGGGACAGATTAAAGAAAGATTTTGGATTTTCAGTGCTCATCTGGGATATTTATATGATTTTTCAGTCATGATGCTTGAAGATCACACCAATTCATCCTCAAGATGTGCTCAGTTCTGTCATTCAAGGGAAAACTTGAAACATTGGATAATATTGCTAAAATGACTACTGAAATTGAAAGAAATTTAGACATCCCCAAAAATGAACAGAAGAAAATATTCAAAGAGAACAGATGCAGAGAAATTTTCTCAAGTCACTCAGGTGTTTTGCGCAGCAGAGATTCTTCAAGGTATGCTTATGTAATCAATAGAAATTACTTGAAAGATGATAAAAAATAAAAACCACAAAGTGTTATCTCCTGGCACACAAGCTTGCACTAGTGTATAATCACAGTTTTTAGCAGTGTACTCTTTCGATTCTTAGTCACTAGATGGGCTAGCAGCAGAGGGAATGTTTCTAACGGCAAGGTGCTGGGGAGGTGGATAAGTTTGTGCGTTAAACCGAGTGGATCTAGATGCTATGTGTATAGTGAAAGGGAAGGTCGATGTGGCTTTCTGGAGGGTCACCATGTTAGGACAAGGTTGGCAGCAAACACACCCATGATGGAAGTATCAGATGATGGTCATTTCAGCTAGTGAGCCCGTCTAGATAGTATGGTCATGTGGTAGATAGACCCTGGCAACAAAGAGTGACTGACAAGGCTCAGAGAGGATACCGCTCAAGAAGAGGCATTCATGCCAGCACAGAAGGAAATGGGGAGAGGATGAAGGAATCCCATACATTTTTTATGTCACAGTTCATTTGAGAGAGGGCTGTCACCCTCTTATAGCACATTTTAAAATCAGCGTGTTTTATCGTGAAATTTGTTTAATCTTCCCTCATAGTTTAAAGTGTGTACATTTACTTTCTTAAGCTAACTTACACTAACTGGCTCTGCGTCGTGTAGACTTTGGCTATGTATGTATTTACGTAACTTTTCAAACGACGTGTAAACGCCCACGATCCTCTTACCTACTGACTCTGACACAGTGAATCAAGAAGAGGCTTTGTGTAGTTTTGCTAACAACAACAGAAATACCAACATATTTCACTTTCTTGGTCAAAATAGCTTTGAGCTCGTGGGCTTAAATTATCCTCCTGCCTCAGTCTTCAGTATCTGGGAATGAAAGTTCAGGTCATTGCCTGGATTCAGACATATTTTCCATGTTGTTGTTTGTTTTGGTTTTACTTTAAGAATGCTTTACTTTATGTGTGTGGATGTTTAGCATGTGTGTTTTCTGCACACTGCCTACACGTCTGGCACCTAGGAAGTTAGCATCTTGAGGCCTGGGACAGGAGCTGCCTAAGTGTGTGAGCCATCGGGTGGTGCTAACACAGAACTTTGGTCCTCTGTCGGAGTAGCAAGTGCTCTTAGCTCCCAATCATCTTCTCTGCAAAACTACAACAGTTCTGACAGAAAATTTTTTTCCAAAAATTATTTTGGTAGTATAGGAATGAGAGAGTGTATATGAGTGTGTGTGTGTGTGTGTGTGTGTGTGTGTGTGTGTGTGTGTGAGTATTTGTGTGTGTGAGTGTGTGTTTGAGTATACATGTGAAAGGCAGGGGACAGCTTGCGGGACTCTCCTGCCACCTGAGCTCAGGCTGCTAGATTTGGGTGTGAGTATACATGTGAAAGGCAGGGGACAGCTTGCGGGACTCTCCCGCCATCTGAGCTCTGGCTGCTAGATTTGGGCCATGCACATTTACTCCCTGGACCATCTGGCTCTCAAACACATTTAATAGAAACAAAAGCAAAAACACTATTTTCTCAAAAGTGGTAAGAATTTAAAGCCCTAAATGGAGTTATTTTTTAAAAATTATTTATTGCTTTTTTAGGTTCCTCAGTGGAATAACATGCAGTGAAGAAACTGAATTCCTGTGACCCTCATACTTTGTATTTACCCTGGTACGACTGGCTTGTCATTTAACATAGAATAAAAGACAAACCTAAGCCATTTCTAGACTGATGTTTCTCAACTCACAACTAGTAGCGTGGACAGCACATGGCACCTCACTAAATTTATACCTTCCTAGACCTTAGGCTCTGAGTCAGACAGTCAGGCCTGCCTTGGTCGCCTCATTATGCTGTTTCACAAACCCTCACATGGGTTTTTGAGGCTTACTCAAGTTTAAGAACTACAGATCACCATTCTGGTAATCAAAAAAATAAGTATGCATATTTAAAGTTAAAATTTTTGATACTATGAAAACTGCAAAAGTGCACAATATCTGGCTAGAGAAGGATAAGCTTATTGAAATTACCTGTGTCAGATCTTTCTTCTGCCCATTGATATTACTATATAATCCTCCAAAAATACAATTAAAAATTTTATAGCTATATTCCATGTGCTCCTCTACAGCAGAATTCAGAAAATTTTAAATCATTTAATATGTCTTTGGTATAGCTCTGGGATCAAAACTATGAAACATATTCATAGTTATTAATTGGCCTGCATGTATTATCCTTCAAATGGCAATTAAGTGATTGAAGGAGAATTCTGACATTACCACAAGGCTATACTATTAATGGTATTCTCTTGTCATAATAATTAATTGTTCTATAACTATTTTATATTTATTGACATTTCCCCCTATATATTACAAAATGCTTGAAGTCAAAGCACTCTTGCTCTCTCTCTGTGTCTGACTTTCTCTCTCTGTATGTGTGTGTATGTTTGCAAGCACATGTATTGAAGAGCTGGTTTGCTCTGGTTGGGAGCAAGTTCTCCTATGTATCCCAGGCTAGTAGGAAATATGTGCTACCTCAGCCGTTGACAGTTTGCGTGTGTGACTGTACTTCTGTCTCATGCACCCTTTTAGCCGTAGGACAAGCAGTATTCGGCATGTCGCAGACAGCCATGTTTAACTAATACACTTCTCAAGTCTAAACAGCATAATTGTTATACTGTGCATAAATCTCTTTTCATTGTGATTGAGATTTTAATTGTAAAGAATTATTATTTTATGTGAGATCTTAATTGAAAAGATTTGTTTAAAATGAATTGGACTTGAGTTAGAAGAGGTCATAGGCAAAGTGCTTAATGCTCGTGGAAAACACATATCAATCGACCCAAGGCCCCAGTGAAAACCCTACAGAAGGGCATCTCTCTTGCTACTTGTACTTGTGTAGATAGTAGAAGCCTCCTATGATGACAGTACTGGGTCTTTACCTGATGTCTATAGTGCTCATGCATAGTTAATCACTATTACCTAGGTAAGTGCAATTCTGGAGTTCGTGAACAGCCTGGAAATTATGAATCTTGTGATTTGTTTCCCCATGCATGGTTATAACAAAACACACACCGTCTGAGCCCGAGCTTTCTCTTCAGCTGTGGCAGGTGCTCACAGTCCACGAGCTTCCACTGCATCCACATCCTTTGTTTTAAGCGAGTCTTCTCTAAGTCATCATCTCCCGTCCCCACACTATCTCACCCAGATGCCTTCATGAAAGTCTGACTGGCTTGCAGTTCTCAACATTTATAAATATCAGTAATGGGCTAATGACTCAGGAGATTATAGAGCTGAACAAGATGTTTTGTATCCAATCAGTGGTGACCGAAAGAAAACAAGCCCTGCAATGTCTCCTCCACAAAACCATCCAAATCTCTGGTATTGACAGTGCAGTGTGTTTTGAAAACAAAATGGGAGTACTTACTGAGCCGTAGAGTTTCCCCTTCTTATTCATGGCTAAGTAATAGTTACTGTTAATGGCTTTGACGGCAACAACTCCAATTTCCACTGATGTTATCTCTAGGATACCTAAAACAAACAATTACAAAGGCAAGTTGTAAAGACTCATCTGTGCTTAGTTGGGAGAAGGTAAAAATCAAAAGAAATTATAAAGTAATTTTATATTATTCTGAAAGCAAACGAGCCAAAACTGTGTCAATGTGTTCAAAGCCCCAGTGAGTATACGAACCCAGTAGTAAGGCTTTGGGAGATTCCCTCCATTTTTCCTCTGAGCATATCCAGGCAAATGCTGTTTTAATTAAAATGCTTCCTTTGCAACCTCTCCATTTTCAACCCCATAAATATTGAAACTACTCTACTCATCTTAACCTAGATTTCACAAAAACTTATCAGAGCCCACATCTGTATTGTGGTATTAAATTAAATCCATAACATATGCCAATGATAGGTCAGATCTACCTCAATCTGTAAAAACAACGGTAAACTATTTTTTTCTTTGTAGCACATTTAGATAAACTAAATCCCTTGCCTGCATTTAACTGATAAATTTATTTTGTGACCAATGTGTTGACATTCTGAGACATACTGAGACTTGTCTCAGCATCCATACTGTCTTAAAATAGCAGATAGAATATTCCAGGGTTAGGAATTTTCTCCTTTTCTAGAAAGAAGAGAAAATGGACTGAAGTAGTAATTGAGAAACAGGACCATTTTCTCCAGTAAAAAAAAAAAAAAGTTTAGTTTGTTGTATGTAAAGATGATATTCTCTGAAAAGTTTGTAGGCAGATGTGGGAAAGTCCACCCATTTTCACCTAAGAAGATCTCAAAACAAAACTTCTTATTTCATTACTCTTAATAGAGCTTGCTCAGGATGGCTGAAAAGCATGGTGAGGAGAATGTGACATTGGGACCTGGGGTATAGGCATTTGATCCGTGGCTCTGCATCTATTGGGAAATGACCACAGAAGTCAGCAGATTTCTTTGTGTCTCAGTGTCATTTGAAAAGTGGACAACATAGCAACATTTCTCACGGAATCTTGCTGTGAAGACAAACAACAGTGGACACGTAAAATGATTAGAATTGGAATAGAGCTCAAGACTTCAGTTGTTATTAAAGGCAAGTTTCCCCCAATAGTTCTGAGTAATGCTTCTTCAAGATGCTATGAAACTTTTTCAAGATCAGGGCTAACCAGATGGCCTGGAAGGAAATCATAAGTTAACATGTATTGTGTATCACTGGACATGACAAGTACCATTTTTGATGTAGTATATAAAGTGTGTCCTCAGATTTTTTTTTTCCACAAGGGGAAAAGTGGCTTATATTCAGGACATGAACGTTTTTGCTCCTTTTCTTTCCCAGGTTAGTCTACCAGAAGCTAGTAGAAATGCTAACATTTTTCATCATCAAAACTGACGTTAAGAGAATTGTGGTAGATAACATAGCGAACCCCTGTTAGTGCGTGGAGGAAGATCTGACCTCACTAAGAACAAGGTTCATTAACACAGCATCTCACAGTGTTTGGATAACCAGGGACAGGCTGTGTGGTGCACTATGGGACTATGTTTATGTTGTTAATACTTCTTACCCTGTGCTGGTTGTTACCCTCAGGAATCTCACACACATATTCATATGCATATTTTTGAAAGTACTCTCTTTGGGTTCATTACTTTAATATCTATAACTGTTCCTCAAGGAGGTATTGCCATTCCCATGGTCAGTTATGATTAGAAAATGGAAACAGCACAGCTTGCGTACAAGGCGATGATTAGGTCAGTCATGAAGGCTCTAAACACCCAGCTCTGTGGCATTCATACTTTTTTAATCCACACCTCTGACTATATTCGCTTTTCCTTCTCTTTTCCCTTCCTACAGGGGGATTCTGTAGAAGCTATTTAGCAATGACTCATTAAAAAACCTTATTAAATGACAACATGCTATTTGCCCACGGATGTTGAGGTTTCGCTTGGTAAAATATCTGAGTTTCAGAGGGAAAAACAAACAAGCAAACAAACAAATAAACTTGTGACAAGGAGAAAATTTCAACTAGACAGGAAGTGGCATTCCGATATAATGTAAAAGTATTTAAGCTGCTGTGCCTGCAGAGGAGGGCGTGTCCGGAAAGTGTGAGGTACGCCACGTGTATTCTGCTGGGACAGAAAACGGACAGAAAAGAGAGGCATGAAGAATGGAGTTCTGAAGGATGAGCACTGGGCTGGAACTACGGTCATGAGACTAAGCTGAACAAAGGAGACAACTGGTACAAATATCACCAAATCCCTGGCTGGTTATTTGGAGAGTTTACAGCATACACCAGGGCACAGTCCACCAAAATACACATAAGTTTCTTCATGTTTTACCTCAGATAAGAACTCAGTACTTACTTAAAAGATTGATCAAATACCTGATTTTACTTTACAGATCGTTTGGGCAAGCATGCAAATATTCACTTTTAAGCATTTTGAAATTTAGACATTAAAATGTGCGTATTCAAGGGTCAGCACATGCTGCTCTGCCACAAGATGTGAGCTGCTTGATGCCCACATCTTCCTCCATCCTCAAAAATGATGTACTTTTGAAATACACGAGAGTGCACACTATACCTTCTAAATAGATGGAGGGAAGACTCAGGTGATTTAATGCCCTTCTGAGTTCTGAAAATAAGCCTTGGTTGTCCCATAGGTCACTAGGTCATAATCTGAACCTTTCTCTCTTGGTTGCAGCGACGGCGTTTATTGCAAGCGTCTGCAAATGTGGATGCTTCTTTGGGAGGGACCAACGCGCGGGCGTCTCAGCTTTTTCATATATCAGTTCTACAGTTTTCTCTATTGTTCAAAATTATCAAGTTTGCCATTAAGATAATTCTTTTTTTTGTAAAGGAACTCTGGAATTTTTTGAGATCCATTAGATCAACAGCTATTAAATTTGTTTGTGTTCGCTGTGACATAAAATGCAAGGCCGGTTGAAAGCCTCCTGCTAAAGAGCTGGTGAAACATATATGAGCCCTCTCTGCGTTTCTTTCAACTTATGTGATGGCACAGTTATCTCAAATTTAAAGGCTATTACCAGTGGTGAGAGTCAAGGAGATGGCTCAATGGTAAACACATCTACTTCCAGACCTGAGGACAATCATAATACTAGCGTAGTTTGATAGTTTTAATCAACATGCTGGGATATATCATGCTTAGTATAATGCTATGAGAATTTTAACCCTTTTAAGTTAAATCTTTCCCTCTTTCACATGAATTGTAGAGGCCCAAACTGATTTACTGGACACTAACAAGGAAGATCTTCAGTAGCTGTCGTTTAAACTATGTATGTCAAGGGTTAGGCAGACACGCTTAGTAGTGTGAATCACGTATGACTGTGCATTTGGTTTCCCACGAATCACCGTGAGTCTTATCTCTTACATGACTCACCTTCATTAAATAATCAACATAGACACAGTGGTGTTCATAATATGGCACTGCTATATAGCCATTGAACGCCAAGAAGAATCAGTGATTGTGCAGGGCAAAATGGGGCATTTCTGAAATCTAAATTTTTTGTTTTTGATAGTAATCATATTTATGAAATAATGAATCAATAAGTTTCTATCTAAATAAAACAAAAGTAAAAATAAAAATGAAGTCAAAGAAAATGTTAATGAATTATAAGATGTATTTGATGTCAGGTAAAATATTGTAAATCTGAAGGGCTATTATAACTTTTAAATATATATGTTCAACTATTGGTTAATATAATTATAAGTAGGAGTTTTGAGCATGGTGTTGTAATTTTTTTGTCTATGCAGGGTCATTGATTTAAGCAATATTGTTTTTTGGTCAACAAAAGACAACAAAATGATATATCTGTATTTAAGCATTGAGCCATCTCTCCAGTTCTTTTAAATTAATTTTAAAAATAATAGGTAGCACAAATAAGGCTGTTACAAAGTCCTCCATGAGTCTTGTACTTTTATATATGACTTAAATTCTCAATCAATTTAACAAAATATATTAGAGTTAAGCATTGTGCCATTTACATACTGAAAAAAGAACTTTAGAGAAATTACATAATTTAGTGGACAAATATTGTCTTGAATAGAATTGATTTGATATCTGGATCAAAAGCTTCTGCTATTTTTACATTGTTAGGCTACACTGAATAAAACTGTGATTAGTAATATACCAAAGGCTTAAATAGAGTTGTGAGGGTAAGGTAGCTTTATATGATGACATTCAAGGCTAAATAAGCAGAGAGACCCAGGGTAAGGTAGGTTTCTGAGGTGGCATTCATGGCCGCAGACCCAAAGAGACCTCAGCTGTTTTCTTCTTCATCATGTGATGATGTCTGCTGAGTTGATGCCACAAGGAGGTTTCACCCAATGTCCTTATCTTGATATTGAACATTGTATTTTAACATTGTATTGAACATTTTAACATTTTAACAATGTATTGAACGTTGTAATTTAACAGCGAGTCAAATAAGCCTGTGTTCCTTACCTGGTAGGCAGAGCCGGCCATTTTGTTATGGCAACAGAAAAGGTACTAAGACGTCCCCTACCTGTTCTTTCTTTGAAAACCTCGGTCACCTTTGTCATTGAATTGAGCTCAGTTTCCATGATGCTTCTCTCCCTTACTGTACTCTCAGAACAACTGGCCTACTGTCTGGAGTCAGCAGTATCTAGTATTGTTTTCCCCATAATAATCACATGAAAATAAAAATAAATCATTCAGCAACTATAGAGTAAAAAGCTTTCACCAAAATCATGAATGTTATGTGTTGCCAAAATATTCCACAAATATTGGATCAAAGAAAATCAAAAGGGTTATTGCAGTCCACTTAAGAAGGAGAGCAAGGCATGCTAGTGTCTGTTAGTTTACAACCAGTTAAAACTTGGGTCTTAGTAAAAATGAAATATCATTTATTTTGGAATCACATCTGTAACACTGGAGTGCGGGCACTCTGAAATTTATTTTCCATACAAAAGCAATGAGAACACATTTTTGACGTAAGATATCCCATTTGGTTAATACAAAAATTCAGCTTGACTTCTTTCGAAAAATGTCTAGTGACATAATCACTACTT